CATCTGGAAAAGAAGCCAATAGACAACCTAACATTTGCACAAGAGAAGATCCCCATGAGTCTGCCCCAACAGTGACATCACAGGGACAAAAAGGGAAGTAACTTCTAGTGAAACTCTACTCTAATGCTAGGCCCAGCCATTCCCATACACAGAACAAAGGGAGGTGGCTAGCTACTGAGGCACTAAATGCCAACCACAGCAATCTCAAGGGCATGCCACCTCCAAAATTAACTTTTTTCCTGAAGACAGAGAACAACCTTTTGTAAGGCACTGAAGAAAACAAAATGCACTGCCCTTGACTTACAAGGCGGTTAAAGCTGGGTTCCTGAAAGACTTGGAACATCTGTTAATATTATGCCAAAGAAAAGCTTTATCTTTCTGTGATCAAGCTTAGGCTATCACAGAGGGATTTTCTACCCACATGAAAACCACACAAGTGGCTAAATGCCAGAGAGCGTTGCCTCCCACCTGAGAGAACCAAAGGTTCCTACAGATTTCTAAATATCCTTTCTGAGGACTACAAAGCTGCTCCAGGGACCAGGAGCACCCTCTCTCTAGTCCTACCCTCCTCCCACACTGCTCCTGGCTGGTTTCCATACTCAGAGTACACTTACCCAGCTCAGAGCCCTTGTGTCAACTGTCCTGGGCTAAGAGGCCTCTGGCTCCTCCCTCAAACTTGCCAATCTTTTTCTATCAGATCTCTGCATAAATGTCACCTGTGAGGTGACATTTCCACCTCCCTGGATAGGCCCCAGTGCCTGCCTTCATCACTCAAAGAGGGTCAGGACGAACACTCCAAAAGCAGGCACGGACAAGTAGCTTTTGTGTCCAACGCTAAGTAAGGCTAACGCTAAGTAAGGCTGCCGCCTCCACCTTCTTCCACTAGGCCCCTCACAGGTGACTCCTTATCAGAGAAGAGAAAGCAGTGTCATTAAAAAAAAAAAAAAAGTTTATGAAGGCCTTTGGGATTAAAATAAAGATCACACACCTGCGGAGAGGCTAATCCTAATGACTGTCTGGGAAACTACAGGGCCAACAAGCAAAATTGCACTATTTTAAACTATGCACAGGCGTATTGTGTGAACATTCCTACACCAGTAACATCTAGGGACTCAGGTGTGCACAGACCTGGGAACTGAAGGTAAAGCCGTTGAAGAAGCAAGATATGCATCAAACCTACCCCAAAGAATGCTAGCTCTAAACATACATTTCAGTTGAATACCTCGGTATGTCCGAAGTCAGATATGACCTTAACAGAAGAGAAATGTTAAAAATTGAAAATAATGCCAAGCAAAATTTCACCACCAACGTCACTAGAAGACAGAGTATTTTAAATATAAGCTGTTGGATTCAAACAAGGAAGAAGTTATCTACAGAACAGGAAGCTTCAGAGGAAAACACACACTTCAGGCCATCTAGCTCTGCGTTCATTCTCATTCTTCAGCAATGAGTCTCACAAAATCTAGAAACCCCTTTCTTGGCCACAAGCACCTAAATCATACCAACAGAATTAAAAAAAAAAAAAAGAGAGGAGGAAGGAAGAAAGAAAAACCTGTCAGAGGACACCTAGAGAACCTGGGCCACAAATTTCCCTGTTTCAGTATATGCCATTGTAAAAATATTTTGATAATTGATACCAACAAAAAGTTATTGTTTAACATACAGTCATCAAGCACAAAGAGCCTTTTGGAAAGAGTTCTAGTTTGCTAGCATCCCTTTGACAGGTATATTTATCTTTACAGATATCACATACTTCTTGAAATGTGCGGTGATAATAACCAAGTCCCACTCACCCATACTATACAGCAGCAATTCTCAGATCCTCAGAAATATGGGGAGCTGTCTGCCACATAAACTTAATCATCTCTAACTGCTGTCTGTAAAAATATGCCTGCCTAGCATGGGAGCACCTGTAATCCCAGCAGGTCGTAATCTTAGGGGCTAAGGCAGGAGGATTGAGTTTAGGGCAAACCTGTACAACACAGTGAACTTCTTCCCCATGAACAGCACCAATAAAACATAGGTCTATCTTCCTATTTTCTGTCAACTCCCGTTATCACTTAAAATTTTCCCTATTATCAGGGCCTGCAGGAGTACCACTTTTCCTAGTATATTGGCTGCTAATAGGCAGCAAGCCCTGTTACCAATTTGAGTAAAAAAATCAGGAAACAGGACCAGGTAAGAATGTTGTGGAGGCTGGGCCCTAATCAGTCTCACTACTTCTTTGTATCTATAGCAGGACAGGAGAGTGAACACCTAAAAGGTCCTCCTGGAAATAAAGATCTTGCATGTGCCCATACTAACAAGTTTTCCAGCCAGGCCACTTGACCCACCTGAGAGGGCTGAATTACCTTTCAGGATATTGACAAGCAACACCACAAGCTATTACAGAGGAATCCCAATGTGTGTACACACACACACACACACACACACACACACACACACACACACACCAGCTATCCTGTACTTCTCAGCAGGCAGTATCAAACCTTTTTCAATAGTGGATACAGCACACACACACACACACACAAAGATGCTCTTAATGTCAGATCTCAACACAAAGAAATTTTCATGTTTCTCTCACCATTTCTGTCAATTTCATGAACATCAAAAAACAAAGGGATTCATGAGAGGCACAGGGACAGATCATGAATGGCATAGCAACCTAGAGCAGCCTGGGGTCTGATGGGCTCCTGAATGCAAATGACATATATAGCCAGGCAGTGGTGGCTTAGGCCTTTAATCCCAGCACTAGAGGCAGGCAGATCTCTGAGTTTAAGGCCAGCCTGGTCTACAGAGTGAGTCCCAGGACAGCCAGGACTGTTTCACAGAGAACCCCGTCTTAAAAACAAACAAACAAAAACCCTGCACATCAATGTAACATTTAATTCAAAGAATCTGAAAAACATTGACCCAACACCCTCAAACCATTGTTAACAAGCTATTGCATGAACCTGCACAACAAGTTTTTTCTCTTGGTTAGGATGCCTGACACTGGGTCACCACAATACTGGTCTAATTTACCTTTACCTTTAAAAAAAAAAAAAAAAGGCTGTAGTTTGAAGCCTGTCTGGTCCTGGGCAGAGGTAGCAACCCCGTGGAGTAAAGAATTTGAACAACCCCTCTACAAAATACTATCGTGCAAGAAGCACAGTGGACATCTTAGCTACATGATTTACAATCAGAAGCGTGTGTGAGGAGCACAGAACTAGTTATTGTTACTTTCCTTCCAGGATGAGTAGACTGAGTATGAGTCAGCTGTTATTCACAGTTAAACCGTGTTGTGTGTGCAATGCTGGAGATCCAAACCAAGACTTCATACAGCTAGGAAAAGCACTCTACCCCTAGTTCTTAAACCCTTTTGAAGTAGCAATTCTGTACATCTGCCTCACAAGCAAGACAGCAGTGAGTGATCCAGTGACTCAGACTTATTTTCAACAAGATGTTTAAGGATAAGCGACAGACATTGAATTAAGAGAAACCTTTATGCCAGGGAGACAATGTAATTCCAACAACGTAGCTCACACATCTGTGACTGCCCCTCACACCACACAACTCTCAACTCTGGAGAAACAGAGAAACCAGGTAGTAACAGTTCATCAAGTCTCAGACTAGGCTATTTGTGATAGTGCTGCTGAAAGCTCAAAGGTGAGGGCATTACAGTCGCCCGCGTCAGACACTGGAGATACTGGTTAAGACCGAGGAGGGACATGGAGCCAGCACACAAAGCACCATGGCATCTCACTAGTCTTCTGTCTGACACACACTGCAGAAACCACCAGAATCAGCCTGCAGGAAAAACTGCTGACCACTAGTTGTGAAACAAGAACTACAACGGACTACTCCAGCATTGGTTGTGGCATCAACTACTGGGCTCTCCGGCGACTTCTGGGACTAAAGAGTACCTGCCCCTTCCTTTTCGGGCAAAACAGTCACTTTCTGGATGGGAGAATTGCTCCTTGATGAGAGCAGATTCCCGAGCACTTAGGTACCATGCAACAGTTCAGCTACATACAGTCCAACATGGCAGGACCACCACCCTGACTGGACAGGAAGAACTGTGTACTGGATCTGGTCTGTTACCCGAGATGATTCAGAGACTGGGAGCAGGTTGTTCCAACGGCCAGGTTAAAAATTCCCCAAGTCAGAAGGGCCCTTCTAATCCACACACACACACACACACACACACACACACACACACACACACACACACACACACAAAGCATCAAGGGAGTCAGTCCAGAGGTGAAACAAGACCCAACTCCTCCAGAGGCCACCGGGCCCTTGAGTGTAAACCTCAATGAAGATCTCACCGGAGAAGTGTGGGGCCCAAATTACGGTTCGCTGGGGATCAGAGTGGGCACTCTGGGATCCCCCGAGATCCGCATATGCTCTTCTTAAATCCCAGCACCCGGTTCAGCAGTCCCCAGCCCCTATCCACCTGTCCCATCCCTTCCCCTCCTACAGCTCTGATCCTCTGGGCCGACAGGAACCGGACTCGAGAAAGAGAGGAAGACCTCGCCACCTGAGTGACCTTGACGCCGTCTCAGGGCCACCCAAGCCTCAGTTTCCCCCGCCCCAAGGCCCGTACCGTATCTGAAGCTGTCGGCTAACCCTTCTAGGAGGGAGACCCCGTGCTCCCCGAGCCCTGCTCCCGGGCTCCCGGGCCGTGGAGCCTAGGAGAGGCGCAGAGAGGAACAGCAGGAAATCTGGCTTCCTGGAGAGGAGCCGGCGTCCCGGCCGGACTTCCGGGCTGCGGCCCGCGGCGGGAGGCCAGGCGTAAGGGCCGCGGAGTGGGGGAGGGCCAAGCGGCCGTGGGCGACGCGGGACTCGGGGAGCCCGGATCCTCTGCCCGGCCTGCCGCTAGGTCCACTGGACACAGATCCCGGCCCGCCCGACCAGACTTGGCCCTTAGCAGCCTGAATCGAGCACCCCTCGACGCCCACGATGACCCGCCCGTGGCCTCCCCAGCTTCGGCCCCAGCGCGCCCCGCACCTCACCTCCGCGGCGGCTGCTCCCAGCCAGGCGTTGGTTTCGCTCCCACAAGATGGCGGCGCTGACGGCAGCCACGTCAGCGCCTGCCGCGGGGCACGCCGGGGGAAGAGGGCGGGCACGCCCGATGCCCCGCCCCTAGAGAAATGGCGCTTGCGCGGCTGCACCAAGTAGCCTTCACGGGGCGGAGCCAAAGTCGCTCTGCTTCCGGATCGCGGCCCGGGCTAGCACACCGGCTCCCTGGACTAGAACGCGCAAGGGTGTGGCGTGTGAATTTCCGTGTCCATCGACGCGTGCGCACGCGCGCCTTCCTGCGGAATTCCAGCCCATTCCGCGGATGCGGGGGTTGAGGACAGTACGCGTTCTAGAGCGCCAAGGTCAGAGTGGGAAGGTCGTGTCAGCCCTGAGGGGGTGTGATGTCCCTCTCAGAGGTCTCCAGAGTCTCTGATCTCCCAGCTGGCCCTGGGCCCTGAAGATAATGATGTGACTGACAGGTGACCGAAGCGGGGAGAGGCGCAGGCCAAGTGTCAGATACGCACCATGCCCCTACACTGGCCCTGGACCTGTGTACACTCTTAGAGCTGACCCAGAGAACCAGAGATTTGCGTGGGGGTGGCACTGCCTCAGCGGGTACTCTGGGTTGCCCCGGGGAGCGGGGATGGGGGGTGGGGGCGTGGGTAATGAAGAGGAAGAACCTGTTACATCTCCCGGGGAAGCCTTCCCGGACCGATCAGAAGCAGCAGCAATCTGCGTACCCCCTCCCCTAAGTATGCGAGAATCAGACCCAGGCTCTGTCCATCCTGTTCAGTTCTTCCACCCCATCTTTGTGAGGAATCCCCACAGGCAAGAGATGTTCAGGGACCTAGGACATTTTTTTTTTTTAACCTGGAACCCTATTTGTTGAGTTGGTAGGAAGCAGTTCTGTTACCTGGGCCTAGATCAGTCACTCTGTGTCCAGGCACAAGGTGCGGGGGCAGACTCACTGTGTTTAGGGGCTGAGATCTTTGCATAGCCCTGCCTGTCCTGGAACTCACTCTGTAGACCAGGCTGGCCTTGAACTCAGAGATCTGCCTGCCTCTGCCTCCCAAGTGCTGGAATTAAAGATGTGCACCACCACCACCACCAGGCTTCAGGGCTCCATTTTTAAGTGCCACTTCTGTAATTGCTATGGGGGTACCTGCCCATTCCCTCCCACCCTCAACACACAGCAAGTATTCATGCAAAGCCTTGGGTGCTGGCTCTTCACACCCCAGAGTCCTGTGATCCCAGCCATATAAGAAGCCTGTCACAGCCACTTTACAGATGAGAAAACAAAGAGACAAGAGTATCCAGGAAAACTGCAGGTTACCAATCAAGAACCAAACTCTTTGTGTTCCTAAAAAGACAAAATTGTGGCAAAATAGAGACAGGGTGGTAGTCCACTGTTAATCCTAACCCGACCACTGTACATTCTAGTCATGACCAAAAACTCACTATGTATCCCATAAATAATTATTTGTGTCAGTTAAAAACTTAAATAACCATTGTAGATACTATGCAATGGATGATTAATTTGAAGTAGACCCTACTACTAAAACCTAGATAGGCTCTCACTATCTTCCCAGGTTAAGTTAAAGCTTCAGTGAAATTTTCATATTGTATATAAACTCTGAGTGTTGAATTGTAGATTCACTTAAGTGTATATAACTTTTTCAAGATTTATTTATTTTATATATGTACGTGACTGCCTGCAAATATATATGTATACCACATGAATGCCAGAAGAGGGGGTCAGATCCATTGGAACTGGAGTTACAGGTGTTTATGAGTTGCCATATGGGTTCTGGGAAGCAAACAAGGCCTCTACAAGAACATCAAGTAGTCTTATGCACAGAGCCATCTCTAGAGCCCCAAGTATATATTAAAAAAGAAATTGGACAACTGAGCTGGAGATGGCTCAGCCCTTCAGAGTACATACTGCTCTCACAGAAGCCTCAAGTTCTGTTCCCAGATCTCAACTGCCTATAACCCCAGTTCTGGGGGATCTAATGTCTATGGCCTCCACAAGGGCCTGCGCTCGCTCTCGCTCTCTCTCTCTCTCTCTCTCTCTCTCTCTCACACACACACACACACACACACACACACAGTTAAAAAGTATCTTTTAAAAAAATTTTAAGGGTCTGGAGAGATGTCTCGGTGGTTAAGAGCACTGAATGCTCTTCCTTCTAGAGGACCCAGATTCAGTTCCTAGCAACCAACCCACATGGCAGTTCATAACTGTCTGTAACTCTAAGATCCGACACCCTCACACAGACATACATGCAGGCAAAACACCAATGCTTATAAAATAAAAACATTTTTTTTTAAAGTTAGGCAGAGGCAGGTGGATCTCTGTGAGTTTGAGGCCAGCCTGATCTACAGAGTGAGTTCCAGTACTGTCAGGACTATTTCACAGAGAAACTCTATCTCAAAAAAAGCAAAAAATTGAAAAAAAATTTAATAAAATCTTTACTTTAAAAAATATTTTAAAGAAATAGAAAACCAAAGAAACTTTATTTTTGGGGGGAAGAGTTTAGCAAAATGAAAAAAAAGAGACAGAATGGGGTTTATGTAAGATACAGTTTTGAAAATGATAAAACAGATTGCTGTATGCCCACTCCCAAGTTAAGAAACAGACTTCTTTTGTCTGTGCTTCTGTTTGGGGCCCTGTCCCGGTGGGCGGGGGAGGGGGGCGGATCGGGCATACATGTCTGTGGGAGCCCTAAGTGGGCATGTCTGAGGACAGACCCTACCAGGAAATGTCAATTGCTTGGGTAAACTGAGGCTAACTGCTCCTCAAGATTGCTCAGAGACCAGGAGCGCCTTTTCCTCTCTGAAGTCCCTGCATGGACCAGCTCTGGCCAGGAGGGGGCGAGGTGAGCTGACTGAAGGTGTTCGTCGTGTGGAGGTCCAGGATCCTCAGCTACCTGTACTAGGAAGCTAGGAGTGCCTATGGTGCCTCACCTCCCCTTCAGCTGATCATACACCAGGGCAAAGTACAAGCCCTTCCCTTTAGACTAGCCTACTCCTGAGGACCTAGTCAGAGGCATGGATGCCCAGTGTCCTGGCTTCTTGTTCTCCAGGTTGCTAGAGAGAGAACCTTACCTAGAGTAAGGACCAGAGACAGGAATGCCCCCAGAAGGCAAGACCCAGTGGGAGGTAAAAGGAACTCTGTACATTGAGGACTACCTCCTGTCCCCCAGACAGTTTGTACAGCCTCTGTGTGTAAGATGGGTGGCGTTCATGTCAGGCTACGATGCCTAGAGATGTAGAAGTCTTACTCCATATATATACATCACATGCATACATACACATGTATACACACTCATAGACTGAGATGGAGCCCACTGAAATGGAGTTTAACCTCCACATTTGACTGTTTCCAGCCCTGTGGCTCTTTTCTTGGCCCCTTAGGCCCAGTACTTTGGTTCTTTTACAGACTACAGTGTTCTCTGGGATTCCTATGGGATCCCACCATACGATTTCCAGGGAACTCACCACTGCACCAGAGAATCTAGCCTGTTGGGGAGGTTTTATGTACTGAGCAGATTGGAGTGTGCCTATAAGACTCCCTGATCTACTCTGCCTGCCCTCAAGCTCTCAAAAGCCCTTTGCAGCAGGGGTCTCTGAGCAGGCTAACTGGCTGAAAAAATAACTTCATAGTGCCTTAGGGAAATTCTGTGCAGCATTGAATCTTATTTGAATTCCACTTGATGTTTTGTCTTATGTTCAACATGCTCATACAGTCAAAACTCTGGATCTCTAGTACCTGGTTGCAAGAGGAACTCTTCATACCCTTAATGACTTCCCCAGAGGGAGGGAAACAGGGAGAGCCCTGTCCTTCTTTAATTCTTTTTTGTTTTGTTTTTGTGAGACAGGGTTTCTTTGTTTAGCTCTGGCTGGCCTCGAACTCACAGAGACCCACCTGTCTCTGCCTCCTAAGTGCTGGGGCTGAAGGCGTGTGCCACCACCACCCGGCCTTTCCCCTAATTATTATCCCATTCCTTTCTCCAGGCCTTGGAGACTGAGAAAAAAAATTCTGTTTTCTAGAATGCAGCTCCTAAAATCCTGGGAATCTGGAAGCAAAGTGTATTCCATGTGCTGATAAACCTTCTGCTGGCCAGCAGCCCCTGGATAGCTCCCAGGTGGGGCTGGTCACTGAAAGACCAGGGCTGGGTCAGCGGGTGGGGACCCTCAGCCTCATCTCAGCACCCACAAAAGGAAGAAGGGCTGAAGGTTGATGGCCAGTGGTTTCATTAATCACCCCATGTAATGAAGCGTCTATAAAACCCCTAGAGACAAGTTCAGAGCTTCTCAGGAGCTGGATGTGTGGAGGTCCTGGGGGTGCCCAGGGAGGACATGGAAGCCCCGCCCCTTCCACACACCTGACCTCTTACATCTCTTCATCTGTATCCTTGGTAATTGTTCTCATGGTAAACCAGTCAACACAAGTTCTGTGAGCTGCTTGATCAGTGTAACCCAAGGAAGGGTAGAGGGAGCCCAGTTTATAACTATTGGTCATCAGAAGGAAAGGTGATGAACCATGGGCCTACTTCAATACCGAAGTGGGGATACCTCAGAGACTAATCCCCTAACTGTGGGATCTGATGCTATAGGCAGACAGCCCCAGGGCTGAACTAAATCAGAAGATACCTGCTGGTGTCCACTACTGAGGAAGAAACTGCTTTCCGGTAAGCAACAGTCTCCACACCTTTCAGGATCCCAGAAGTCTCCTGTGCTGACTGTGACATGAGACTGCAAGAGAAACTGGCCCTTCTCCAGAGCTTCCTACTGCCTGCCACTCTAGGTGCAGGCCTTTAATCCCAGCACTTAGAAGGCAGGGAAAGGTGGATCTCTGTGTTTGAGGCCAGCCTGGTCTACAGAACAAGTTCCAGGCTAGCCAGGGCTACACAGAGAAACCTTGTCTCAAAAAACCAAAACTGAAAAAAGAAAAAGAACATTTACAGCTTCATTGACTCCCCTGGGATAATAAAATACCTTTCACCCCACAAGCAATGTGCAGCATGCGTGCAGGTGTTTTGCAGTGGCATCTGTTTGTTTTTTTGGTTTTCCATGATGTATATGTATCTTAGGCCCTTAGCAAGACCTCATGGGCTA